GAACTTCACCAGAGTGTCATGACTTTTCAAACATGTAATGCTATTGGCTTAAGAACGTCATCTGCTGGTTCCCTTAGGTCCCATGAACCTTCAGGTTCCTGAGATAGTCTCAGAGCTGATCTCCTCCTCCAGTGGACAGTCCTTCATGCTCCCAGTCCCTGCTTTTGCTTTCTTCAACCTGGGCAGTGTTGCTGGAGCATCTTGTGGTGAAGACTGCAGCAAAATATTGAGTACCTCTGTCTTCTCCATATCCTGGGTCAGCCATTTATCTCTGGAGGAGACCCACATTATCCTTAGTCTTCCTTTGATCACCAACATACCTGCAGAAGCTTTTCTTGTTGCTCTTGATATCCCTGGACAGATTTCATTCTATCAGGGCTTCAGCTTTCCTAACTTGATCCCTTATTGCTCAGACAATTTCTCTGTATTCATCCAAGGATACCTGTCCTTGCTTCCACCCTCTAAAGGCTTCCTTTTTGTTCCAGGAGCTCCTTGTTCATCCATGAAGGCCTCCTGGCATTTTCCAGCCTTCCTTTCCCTCTCAAACCACCATGTTTAAAATTAGGCACAGTATTCAAACTATGACTTCAGTGCTGCTAAATAGAACAGAATAATTATCTCATGTGAGGTGCACATAACACTTCTGTTAATCCTTTGCAGAATTAAATTTGTCCGGTCTTGCTCTCTTGCATCGCCACGTTCATGTGTGATCCCTAGTTTGTGATTCAATGTGACTATAGATCCCTTTCAGCAAGATCCTCTTGTGCACAGCTAGCACATTTCTGGCAAGGAATCTATTAGAAGCTTGTGAGATGTTTCTTGAGTAGGGATCCCAACGTGACCAGGGAGAAATGTGACTTTCCTCTGTAAGTATGGGAGAAAAAAGATCCCTTAGTAGATTTGCTGGAAAGCATTTTTTCCTAGTATTGAATTTTGTTTGGGATGCTTGTCACATCAAGCAGAAGTTTCTCTTCCTTTCCTATATGGTCAACTCAACTGCTTAATGCTGGCGCTATAATTTTAATGGGATACTTTTATATGGTTCTTTTTGTCAGCCTTTCTTGTAACCCTCTATTTGTATTGCAATGAAGGCTGTAGAAATTTAACTCGCTTGATTCAACCAGTTGAAAGCAAAACATCGGCTCAGTATTCATCGACAGTCAAAAAGTCTACTGCAGCATCAGCAATGACCACTAGTCAGCTTGTTGCTGTTGTGGTTGTCTGGAGACACCAACACAACCTGCTTTGCTACGTAACTGCCCTGTTGCTGCCCACAACTCCAGTCACCACGCCAGAAAAGGATTCAGAGGTCAAGAGGTGGGTATGAGAGCAGTCCACGTGGGCTCTTGCATTATATCTAGTCAGCCAAGTTAGGAGATCAATGAGTATGGAAAATCTGCTGTTTGAGGAAAAACTAAATAGATTCTCTTGCTTGCAAAAGAGACACCTGAATGGGACTATGATACCTGCATGATTCTATGATTTTAAGTTGCAAATGGTATGGAAAAAATGTGTATATATTTTACACTAAAGATGCAAAGATTTCCAATAAACATTCCAGGAATCTAGATTTAAAACAGTCTAAATGTAATTTATTTTTTTGCCTAATACTTACATAAACTACACTTATGCAGTTCCATTTCATATCTAGGCTTACGCTTAGGACAACTAGGAAACTCGATGTCAAAGCTAATTGCCCAGAGATGAAGGGATTAAATATTCAGAGAGAATGGGGGAAAAATCTATTGGGGTTTTAAAGTACAAAAACATGCAAAGAGCTGCCTCTTAGGAAAACTGCTGACAGGTGAGAGGGTTTTCTGTTCTGCCGTGTCACTCCGAGCATTCACAAATGAGCCCTGCCAAAGAAAGCTCAGCCCCAGCCCTGACACAGCACAGCTATTTTTGGGATCCTCGCGACGTAGTTTCTATAACCTCTCCAGTGACTACCAACCTGTGTATTTTTAAGGACAGATTGCACACACATGCTGTGTGGGTCATAGCTGGAAGAGGTGACCTGTGCTGCTCCCACACAGCTCCCTACAAGCATTTATCAGCTGCTCCAGCTGCCAGCAGTAGCTCAGCTGTGGTTTTGCTAAGAGCATTAAGGAAGTGGTTGTAACTTTCTCTTAGAAGCAGAACTGGGTTTAAAATACGATACTGAGAATGGGTACCTATTACCTGGCTTTCTTCTCATGTCTTGGTGTTGATTTACGGATATCACTGGTAAATGTTGCCCTGTTTTTATGCTGGTAGGGTTTTGCAGGTTGCTTGGGAGATGGTAAACAAAAGCATCGCCTCTCTACTTTTTAGCCTCTTTACTTTTTCACTCATGCAGGGATGAGTTCCAGCTATGCTCCTTGATTTTTCAAGTTTTTAGTTACTATATGATGATGAAAAGTTGTATAAAGGGCCACATCAAAAGCGTATGTCCCCGTTACACCGGAATAAACATTGTTATAAGGTGGCGATCAGTGAGGTCATAATCTGACCCCTAAAAGAACCATTGGCTTTTCTTTCTTTCTTTCTTTCTTTTTTCCTTGTCCAGTAGTCTGCTATTTATTTGCTTTATGAAAGATGCATAAGCTTCCACACCTGGAGATTAAATTGTTTGTATTGAGGATTGACACTACAAACTTAGCAACCAAGTTACAGGCACAAGGCTCTGAGCTACTTAGAAAATACTGGCAACAGAGGGCTAGGCTTAGCGACTCTGCAAGGGCAAGGCTAGCAACCATTAACAGCAGACAAATGTTCACCCTGAGTTACCCTTCTGTGACCATTGCAACCTGCAGCACGAAAACACATTGAGAGAAATGGCAGAAAAAGCTGTGTCTCTGACATTATGGTGAACATCTCTACCAGTTTTTTACCTGGGAGTGAAACTGAAGCCTCTGTCTTCCCCCCCTCAGCTGCTCACAATCTTGTTGGGTACTTTTTAATGGATTCTGTGAAGATCCTGGAGGGGGAAAAATGACAACTGAAAATCTGTCTGCCTTTGCTTAGCTTTTGATTCTGTTTTTGCCTGCCTACTCTCCCAGGAAACTACTACAATGACAGATCCTTCAGTAGTGGATCGCCTGACAGAGCTGAAACTCAAACTCCTAGAAAAGGTAAAGGAATAACTCTTCAGTGGTCACCTTTGCTCTGCTTTCTGCTCTTGCATGTTTAAGCATTAACATTGTATTTTAAATAATTATATTTCTACTGATACACAAAGAGGAGAGACAAATGTACAGTGGTGCTACAGTCATTTTGAAATAACACTGATCTACACTAAACTAAAAATAGAGTTAAAGTGACTTTGATCTTATAGGAGACATCACCGGTTGGCTTAAAACTAGTTTGAGTTGCAACAGGCAAATTTTAGGAGAAAATTTTGGGTAAAGAGGACCTCGAATTGCTTTAGGGCAATTTCAGGTCTTTCTTTTGGTCTGCCTTCCCATAAGATATGTCACCTGGTGAAACATGGGCAGACCTTCACTGGAAGTGCTTGAGCTGCCACGCAGATTCCCAGTAGCTCTCTGTTGTGACTCCACACACTAACGCGACCAGGGTTCTCCACTCAGCCCTATTCCTCCACCCTCAGCAAATCTGATGTCCGCTGGTGTGAATCTTCTGCTTCAGTGTCCTCCAGAAGCCACTTAAAGAGTTTTCTAGAAGGAAAAACAATTTGCCTGGAGACGTAAATGCTGAAAATGGCATCTAACCTGTCTCCATGGTGGAGTGTTTTGTCTTAGATGCAGCAGCCATTTGAGGACAAAGCTTTCACCAGTTTGGAGCCATGCACATCCAAGAAAAGAGCCTGTTCATGAGGAAAAGGTCTCTAATTTCTGAGCATCAGAGAGCAGCTGCTCCCTAAGGAGCAAGGAGCTGAGCACAAAAACACAGCCAGCAGGGTATGGGTCTGGCTGGCCAGCCCCAAAGCAGGGCAGAGCCAGAGATGGCAGCCAGGTTCAGCCAAGAGCCCAGATCTACTAGGTGAAGCAGGTCCAAGGCCAACCCAGGAAGTGACTGCAGGTTGGGATCAGGGTTAAAAGTCACAGGTACGGCTGTGGTTGAACTGCAGACCAATTAGTCAACCAGTATAGCTCAGGTAAGAACTGAAGACCTAGGCTGAAATTAAAGGAGCTTCTGGATACAAGTGGCAGATGTGGATGGAAGACCCGGGTGAGGCTGGTCAGTGCCATTTAGGCACCAAATACCCAGACTCTCTGACATCAAGTTCTTCATACGATCCAAGTCTCCACCCTACAAAATAAAAGAGTCTCCTGCTTCCAGGTCTGGGATATCCTAGCCAGTAGGAAACATGGCTGTCCCTTTATCATAACTAGATTTGTACTGACATCTTTCATCTTCTGCGAATACTTCTTCTGTTCCTTACTAGCTGTGATTTAGCTGTTAAGAAGCACTGCTTGTCTTCACTGCTAATTTATTTTCCTCCATCTGAAACCGATGCCTGTAAGATAGGGTTGGAAATTGTTGTGAACTTTGCTGTTTGACTAATAACCAGTTCTTGTTCTGCCAACAGAAACTAGAAAATGAACAGGAGAACCTAGAGAAGATGGAGTCACGTCTCCCAACTGCAAGTAAAAGAGAAGCATTTGTTCTGATTATGAAGAGTGTTTATAATTATTTTATCCATGGATTAAAGACTGCCAGTAGGAGATCAGTATATTTCTAGGTTGTACTGTGGGCTCATATTCATTGAGCTGATGCACAAATAGTTGGAAGCTTCCAGTGCTGTGTCCAAAAATTAAAAATCCCTTTAACAATTTACAGTTTCAAAATATGAAGTGATGCTTTTCAGAAGAGATGTCAGTCATGCCTCCAAAATATCTGGAAATTTTCTTCCTTGTTTTCATTTCAAACAAGTTCAAAATCAGCTGTATGTGTGAAGAATTGAAAAGGAAGCTAGAAAGGAAAAGTTTGCATTCAAAACAGAGTTTGTTTTCCTACGTCACAACAAAACATTTTTGCTCTTTGCACAATCATCCTCTGCATATATGGAGTCTGTCTAGAAAATTCCAGGCTCAAATTATTTTCCAAGGCAGAAGGTTAAAGGGAGGCTTTAGAGAACATTGCCTTTGTAGAGCTGCTGAACAGTGGTGTATTCATGTGGCCTAAGTCTTATATGTTTCTGGATTTGACAAGAAAAGTAGCCTAACACCTTTTGTGGAAGAAGTCAAGCTATCTTATAACACATTTTCCAGAATTAATTTCATAGTGTACATGCTATAATAGCTCTGTCTTTGTGATCCTTTGAGAAGATAATGGACTTTTCCTTCTTCAGGGAACAGACACGAGGATATGCTCCAAAGTGCCCTAAGGCGAAGGAAAAACCTCCTGCGGGAGCTTAGGGTAAGAGCCCTCTCTGTGGACAGAAAGGGCCAGGTCCACTACTGATGCGGATTCAGTTTTTCCCTGTCCTTAAGTTCTTCTGCAGGGCAGTAGTCAGGCCTCTGCTGGTACACCTCACAGTGTCTGGACCAGCTAATCTGTGAGAGGCGTCTTCCTTCACTGCACATAAAGAGGCTTGCACCCACTTCAGTCAGCTGGTGGATTGATTCTGTTTTTCCTTAAGTCCTGCAATGTAAGCTCTCTGGGGTAACGTCAAAATGCAATGAAGAGATTTTTAATGCTGTCAAAATAGGGACAATAATAATTATTACTTATTCCTAGTTTATGGAGAGTACCAACCACTAATGAAACATTTTCTCAGACTTTAGGTGGTTTGTTCTTCATTTTTTTTATATTCCTTTTGCTTGTACTGAAAATTGTATGGCTTTAAGATATATAGGAAGAAAAATCTTTCTTTATACTTGTGCAGGCACTGGTTAAGTGCTTCCCTTGATGCAGCAGTCACTTGTGCTCTGTCATGCTGAATGTTTCTGCAGCAGTATTTTGGTGAGCGAGGCTGTGCTCTGCTGTGGGCTCCCAGGGACTAATCCCATTTAGTCCAGACAGCGTAACAATACTGTCTGCCTTTCTCTGACCAGGTTTGCTTTGAGAAGAAATTTGATTTTGCAGGAGCAGCACCTTCTGGAAGAGCTTTCACAGCCCCCTGCACCAGCTGGAGGACACTGTCATAACCACAGAGCTGCCCCCCTCCAGGTCTACCAGATGCCTTTTCCAGCTCCCCAGGTGGAGCCACCAAGGATTATCCAGCAGACAGTAAGGATCCTCTCTCCTAGGAAATACCACTGTTGCCCTGCCAGTCTGAGACACAGGTGGAAGAACTTCAGAGCTGTATGGAAACACTTATCCCACCAAAAGGGAAGATACACCTCTTAACGCTGTAGGAGACCCTTGCTGCCATAGGCAAATTCTAAGGGAAATCATCTTACAAGTAAGGCACAGAATTAACAGTATGTATGGTTTACTACAGGAATGAAGTAGCAAGAGGAGCAGGAGGACTGCCCATGTTCTGGGCTGGCCATTCAGCCATTTTCCAACCCACATCGCTGCTCATGCAGCCCACAGCCTCAACAGGATCTCACGGCAGACAATGCCCAAAGCCTTTCTGAAGTCCAGGCAGATGATACGCACTGCTCTGTCCTCCTGAAGGTGAGGGAGCTGGCCAAACCCAAGCCCGACTTCTCTGTTTTCCTTTCTTTCTCAGATGCCGCCTCAGCCTGCCACCATCATCCAGCAGTTACCTCAGCCACATTCCCTGATCATGCAGATCCCCTCTGCCCAGCCTTTTACAACTCCCCACTCTGGAAGCATTAAAGAAGGTAACGTACCATCCAGCTGGCAACCAGCTCCCATCACCAGGCTCAGAGAGGGGCAGGCGAGGTGCCATGGCGGGTGGAAGAGGGCGTGGGACGGTGTTGAAGCTAGTTAGTGATGTGCTGTTTCATGACTAGGCTACTGCTGGAACTGTGGGAATAGCGTGCCAATAAATGGACTAGATACCATTTCTGAGAGGCTTTCAGACAAAATCTTATGGCTAAAACTAAAGAAGGAGGGACTACAGACTCAGCAAAGCCAGTTTAAGCTGCCAGGGGAAAGCAAATCAGCTCAGCGCAAGACACTGAGTAATATTAATGAGGCCAAACCAATGCACAGAGATGAAAACTAATAAACAAATGTATAAAATCTGTTTTTATGCTTTTGTCCTTCTTAACCTGCTGTTCAATCTCCTCAGAACGTTACAGGCTCCTATTATGCCCCAGGTTTAGAAACAAGATGGAACAGTTGAAAGTGCTGTTCCAAATATAGTGCAACGCCAATAAAAAGAGCTTGTTCCTAAACATAGGTGGGTGCTACTGTGGAATAATACATGAACAAAAAGCTGGGATGACTTCCCTGGCTCAACCTTCAGCCGAAAGTTTCTTTATCCCACAGAGAAATCCTCAGATATGAAACTGCATTTTTTTTCTCAGCTTTTTCTTCATCTAAGTGTCTGTATTTTTGAATCAGAGTTTATTTTCATTTAAAAAAATAGTCCCAGTTCATGCATTACATGTAAATTATTTCTGGTGTGACTAGTCAAAAAAAAAAAGAAAAAAGAGAAGTGCCTTGATTTTTTTTTTCCCCCCTCTCTCCCTTATTCCTGCTCCCCTCAATAAATTAGTTCCATCACACAGGTCCTTTGTGATTAGGACCAAGAGCTTATGGTAAGTAGATTCGATACACATGCAGTAGACTCTCAAGGTGGCACTGCAATATCACATAAAGTTGAGGCAACCTCTCGCATGGAAAGCAACGGTCTTGAGCTGAAGCAGTGGAAAGCACTGTAGGGAGACCGTCCATGCTGGAGTAAGCGAGAGAGCTCTGGAGCTTAGCCCTTCTCCAGCCTGCAGCAGAAGAGCCAGGGGTGTGGGCTCACAGGGAAACTAACAAACAGAGGATACTCAACAGCAGCTTTCTTGTCGGAGGGAGGAGAAACAGGAAAACTAGTGTGTACAGTTTTATTAATTGACACTAATCTTGCACTGCCTGAGCAAATAATATTCTCACACGCCTCTTTTTCTTGGTTGCGGTGACCAGTCTCTGTGCTGGAGGGTACTTCTTACTGAGATGCCTCTGCAGTTTGTCAGTTGTTCGTGAAGTTCTTACTTTCTTCCTTGGCATGACCTCTCCCCAGATATGGTAGAGATGATGCTGATGCAGAACGCTCAGATGCACCAGATCATCATGCAGAACATGATACTGAAGGCTCTGCCACCGATGGCGTTCACACAACCTGCTGGAGCCAGCTCTCCCCTGTCGCAGCACGCACAGCAGGTAAAGGCGCGGGAGTCTGAAGGCATCCATGCTCACCTGAGGCAATGGTTGATCTCCTGGGGAGGGTGCAGGGCCAGTACAAAACATGCAGAAAATCTAGGCTATTTAACAGCCGTGCACATCTTCAAACCCACCACACCATGAGACTGTTACTGAGCAGAGCACAGACTGCCTCTGCTCACGATGGACATGATGACAGGACCAGACAGGAGAATGCCTCTTCCACAAGCGCAGATTGAATTCGGTCCAGCTCTGAAAATTATCTGGCCTGAGTAGTGGAACCACTAACAAACTACGCGTGGAAGACGTATACACTGGGCATCTGCTGCTGCAGCTCCACTCCCTGCAAACAGCAGGACAACTGCTATGTTACAAATCCTGTAACTGGTAAAATTTGATGTGGCAGTTTCAAATGGCCTAGAACTGAAGCACAGATTTTGTCATCATGCTTGAAGCCCCACCACTCTAGTCTCACTTAAAATCAATGGCTACTGAGCTCAGAAAGGACAGATCTTGAAGGTATTTTGGTGTGTATCTATCCCTGTAGGGATTCTTCCAAAAAATGTCCAGTGCCTGATAAGAGGTAGGTAATTTTGAACATATCCTTAGATGCCTAAATCCTAAAATATTTTTAACATGGTGATATAGAATCCTTAAGGGCTTTTGAAAACAATATTTCTAGGCTCTACATTGTAGCATTTATTACCTAAGAAGCAAAGACAGTTGATCTTTGGGGAGGAGGGTATGTCCCAGTGTCACAAAAACTTCTCTGTGCTTCTCCTACCCCTCCATTTTCAGGCTGTGTCTTTCCCCTGTGCTGTAAGAAAGGTTTGTTTTCTTTTTGTCAGACGTTAAAGTTGTCAGGTCCTGAGAAAACAACTCCTACACTTCTACAGTCCTCGCCCAGCTCACTTGCACCTTTCCTACATGCTTTTTGCAAAAGCAACAGGTGGCTTAAAAGCCTCCGAGTCCCAGGTTTAATGGAGGGGTAGGAAATGCAATCCTCCTCCATAGGTCGTCCCATGGCCTGCCAGGACCTGACAGGGTTTTGCACCTGTTGGGACCAAATGACTGCCCTGGACAGAAAGCCTCCAGCAGCAGCTGCTGGCTCTCGTGTTTCAGGGCACTGACATCCCAGGAGGCCACTTCGTCAGCCGTGGTCCCAGGGTGGACTTCCTGTGGAAATGACAGGCAGTTCCCACTTCTTCCTTATGTTAGAGCTGTGCTGAGCATTGCTTTGGACAGAAATCCTTCTCTACTTTCCTTAAACTTTGCAGTTTCTGGTTTTGAATACTCCTTACCCCTTGCTGTGGTGCTGCAAGACCTATCTGCGGCTTTCTGTGGAGAACCTCACTTCTAAGGGAAGATGGCAGAGGAAGAGCATGCTTCCCCTGGGTCCTCACCTTTCTTTCCAGGCCATCCTGTTGCCATGCACTTCCCTGATGTAGACAGGTGGAATAAATTGGGAGGAGGGGGGTCTGAGCACCTCTCATTATCAGAATTAATCAGAAATTTCCAAGTGTTTGCTGGACCTTCTGTGTTGGAACTTTGCAACACCCATCTCCAGACACATGCTGAAGGAGTGGCCAAGTGGAAAACCAGCTCCTCAGCCAGAGGACACAGATTTCACAAATCACCCTTTGTCTCTCTTCAACAAGGACCTGCAGTTTGCTGCTCCCCTGGCTGTGAAAGCGAACAAGCCCAGGCCATCTGCAGTGCACCACCACCACCACTACCCTCCCGCAGGGGTGCTCCCAGTGCCCCAGGGAGGCTTCCCATCCACATCCATGGCACATCACTGGACTGGCCGCACACTCTCTGCCGTGCCTACGTAAGTAAACAGGCAGCTATGATGCAAACTTTTAGCCTTTCTTTCCTGCATAAGTAGGGCAGCAAGGTAGACGACGCAATCCCATGTCTTCATGGTTCTTCACTAAGACCAGTCCTGGATGCTGTCCTTAATGCAGCAATGGGTTGAAGCAGGTTAGGTGATGATCTGATACACTCAATCTTGTAACTTGTGTAATTAACCCTTGTTTACTGTAGAATAAACATGAGGATCAGGCAAGGTCTACGAATGAGCAAGCTGTGTCCCTGGCACAAAAAGCCACTGCCCAGCAATGCTCCATGGCTCTGCTCAGCTATGGCTGTTACCCTGGGGTTTGAGTCCCCCTGTGAACCCAGCAAACACCTGCTAAATAAGGGCTGAGAGTGTTTTACATTCAGGATAAGGTTCCCAGTAGGATTTATAGTCATAGAATGTGTTTGGCTGGAAGAGACCTTTAAAGGTTATCTAGTTCAACCCCCCTGCAGTGACCTGCTGGTAGGGGCATCTATCTGTATGGCCCTCTTTAGCATGGGATTTGAATTCCTGAACAGATTTTTCTACCTAATGAGATCATAATGGATGAACATTCCTTCCATTTTCATTTTTAAATGGGTTTGTAATTTCTACCAATACAAATCTCTCAGCTCTGTCCAGAATCAATGCAACCAGATGTTTGCAGAAATCAACAAAGGAAAGTTTTGTAATGGATTTTAAGCTGTCTTCTTCCTCTTCAGCTACCTTCCACCAGGAGCTGAGATCCAACACATCTACACTGTCCTTTTGCAGCTGCAGTTAGCACGTACTATTGCCTATTAACAAACACAATAAAATCATTTTTCTTGTTGCAGGTGGCCCACATACTGACAGTACACATTCCTCCTACAAGTGGACCATAGCATTGCTGAGTTCAACCTGTATTTGAACAGTTCCTACATTGCCTGTCTGATTGACAGCCTAATGTCTGTGAGACTGCACACTGTTGGTACAAGAAGTGAGCAGGCGAAAAACTTCAGATGTTCAGAAAAAAACATACCATGCACCTGTTATCTACTCACCTACTTCTACTAGTTCAGTTGTTTCCTCATACCTTCCAAGCCCAGACCAACTACAAGCAATGACCACGTTTGTTTGGGGTTTTTTTCTGTCTATTCACAGAATCAAGAAAACTCATCCCAAAGTATCTTGAAGGCCTGGCAGCCCACAGCAGGCCCTGGCCATGAGACAATCTTAATGTCAGTGTTACTTGAGCCCTTACAAATAACTCCCAGCTCCAGGGCTGGGAGTTCCATTTATACGCAAACTGAGGAAATGCCCCTTGCAAAGGCGCCTGCTCCCCTCCTGAGGAGGATGATGCAGACTAACCCTGAATGAAGGCTTAATTGCCAAACCTCATCAGCCTGAAGTGTTCCTCCCTCAGTGTTTTTGGTATTACTCTCACAGATGTGCCTGTCCTATAGTAAGTCCCTGTCTGTGGAACTAAGGATGAGCAGGGACAATCCAAATGCAAGTTACTTGCACAAAAGAGAAAAGTCCTGACATTGGATTTTCCTGAAGACCAACATTCTGCCCTACCTGTGGGAATTGGCTTTACACACTATTTGGATCAATAATTCTCAGGGGAGAAGAACAACAGAAAGAAATCTTCTCCTGCAGTCATTGGATTTGAACACTGAAGTGCAATGGCTACCCCCAGCTTACTGCAGTCCATGTTTTCTGCCCCAGGAGGGCTCTGATTCTCAGTTTCTCCTAAATCTCACATTTACAACGCCACCTAAGTTTTTCTTTTTGAAGAGCTATTAGAGTGTGATTTAAGAAGCCTGGAATTGTGTATATTTGTTTCGTTATATCTCAACCTTTCCTTCATATAATCCAAATTTAGACTTGATTTAAAAAAAGAAATGATAAAACTCCGAGGTGCTTGTTTGGATATTGGCATGCCTTTTTCTTCAACAACATAAACCAAACACTTTTGCCTTCTTTACATTTACTGTTAATTTTCAGAGGGCAGGCTTTAATCCAAGCCCACGCTTTCCTTTTCTTTTTATTTTCATTTAGGACTCATTAGAAAGCTCACTCAGAGTTTCAATCAAGGAATACTTTTTTGTGCTCTCAGCAGCCTATGTTTAATACAGAAAGACAAACTATTAATTAGTAGCACTTTCTTCAATGTCTTCCCACCTTCTCCTCTTTTTTGAATTTAGGACATCAGCTCTGCCTGGTGCAGTTTGTGAGTGAATCTGTTGAAGGTAGCCCAGGGACCTAAATTTTGTTTGAAAGAGTTACCCAGAAGAAAAGATATCGTGCTGGGCATATATAGTCTCTGATAAGCAAAGTTTAGTCTGGTTTGCTGAGAACTATTGTCAGTAGCTAGTAAGATAGGTTTGTCAGCAAAAAGCTGATGGTATCATCTTGGAATAAAAAACTTTCAAACCATGTCCAATTTACTGTGCTTCCCCATCTCTCTGTGCCTCCTGCTTCTAGAGGAGGTACCCAGACTGTGGCTGAGGCTGCTTGTGGTGAAAGTAGACTATGAGACCAGCTTTAGTTACCTGACTCTAAACCATGTTATCCACAGGAATCCATTAATTACTTGGTGTACCTTAAAGTGCTATTAACAACTTGGTAAGCCAGGGTGGTGGAGTAATCTGTAAAGCCTAACATACAAGCATGCAAAGGGTGCCATGAGCAACATTTCCAAATAACAATTATCACTGCTGAAAGCTAAAGGTGTGCTGTTCATGCTCTGAAAACAATTAATGAATAATTTATTTACTATGTAAAACTTACCTTACTCTTTGCCCTCTCTGCTCTGTTCTCTTTGCTCTGCGTGCGTGAGCCAGCGTGGATCAATTCACTGCTGCCTAGATCAGAGGAGAATCCTCGGTGGTAACTTATTTGGATGCAGTGCTGGGGCCCATGGCCACTAACAGCCTTTATCAACTCCAACCAGATCCACCTGGGACCCCTGACCTCCCTAAGGCCAGCAGTTCCATTTAAGCTTGAGCCTGGGGATGTTTGTGGGTCTTATTGACCCTGTCTTGCACCTCCTCTTTTTGTGTGGTACTGCAGGTTGGTACCGTGGTGTGGTATTTGCTCCCCGTGCCCTGGGGAGCAGCTGCCCCTTGCTGGGCCAGGAGCCAGGAGAATGGCCCTGTGCATGTGCAAGGATTTGGTCTTGCTCCTTTGAGACAGATCTGCTGCTTTGGGCTGTGCACTTGCAGATTTAGCAGTAAGCGGTAGCTAGTGTACGTTAATGTACGTGTTTTCCCTGTCTGCTGTTTAATTATTGTGTTTAGGCTGTAATTGGCTCCTCCTTTTTAAAAGCTCACTGCGTGCAGCGTCAGCTTAGCAGAGCACTTCCTCCCAAGGATGGGCATGTGAGATAGTGCACATGGAGATACCTCCTCACAGCCTCATCCAAGCCCTGGAAAACCTGGCGGATGAGGCATGGACCCTTTTCTTGGCATCACACCCCAAAATGCTAGAGCCACACACGGCTTCCTTGGGTAAAAGATGTCCTTGCAGATGGAATGAGGACCCTGAGCAAGCCATAGGTCACATCCCACCCTCAGGAGAGTGCTCTTGAGGGTCCAAGAGTTACTTCACTCATTCTACGTTCCCTCTGCAGTTGCAACTCAGCAAAGCACCAGCAAAAGCCTTGCAGATGCAAGTTCTTCTTCTCTGCGTGCTTTTCATTAGGATGGCCTTGAAGGCTGAAGAATTGCTTTACAATTTTCAAAAGAGGGGTTTTAGTAAGGCCTGGCTGAATAATGCGACATTCACGTATCTTCACCTAAGGCTCCATGTGGCTGGTTAGGCGGCTGGGCTGATTCACTGACAGTATCTGGGCTGGGAGTTAAACTTTAATATGAACCAGGGGAGAAGATCCCAGGCGTGACTCAGCTGCCCACGTCCTTCCTCTTCTCTTCCCCACTGGCAAGGGCAGCGCAGTGGGACAGTGAGCACAGACGCAGCAGGACCTGTGACCAGGGGCTGCCCCAGCGATGGAGCCTCGCGACCCACAGGGAAAAAGAGTCGCTATTGTCGGCGGTGGTCTGGTAGGAAACGCAGTTTAGCTGCCGTGTGATTGCGTTTGCCAGGGAGCTGGGGCTGTAAAAGCATCGCTTGGATGTGAGGTGAATGTTTTGCTTAAAGTCATTCCTCCTTCAGATGACAGCGTCATGGAGGAGTTGGCTGAGTTCCCGCTGCAGGAGGCAGCGAGGTTTGTTTGAGCAGCTAGCGCTTCGTA